GGAGAATGGGGCTGCGGGCGTCCAGCTGAGCCTGCTGCAGCTCGGCTCGGTGCTGCAGCCCCCAGCAGCAGGATGGGGTGGGGTGGGATGGGATGGGATGGGATGGGAGATCCGCGACGCTGCAGCCCCAGCAACCTCTTGGCTCCGCCAGGTTTTCCCGGGCAACAAGGATCCGGAGACGCCAGTGCTGAACGAGCTGCCGGTGCCGGTCGTGGCACGTTTCATCCGCATCAACCCGCAGAGCTGGTTCCCCAATGGCACCATCTGCCTCCGCACCGAGATCCTGGGCTGCCCTGTGCCGGGTGCGTGTCCTGCGCTCGCCCCCGCACTCGTTCCCACATCCCGGCTGTTCCTGCCCCCTGCCCCGTTGCTCCTGCATCCCAACTGTTCTAGTATCTCGGCTCTTCCCATGCCCTAGCCCTTCCCACATCCTGGCTGTTCCCGCATCCCAGTCATTCCTGCACTTCCACTGTTGCCATGTGGTCTTTGGTCCCACATTCCTGCCATTCCCACCTCCCCACCACTCCACCATCCTGACCATTCCTGCATCCCTGCTGTTCCCAGAGCCCAGCTGTTCTGCAGCTCAGCTGTGTCTGTGCCCTCCCAGGCCTATTTCCCAGCTGTTCCTATGTCCCAGCTTTTCCCACGTCCAGGCTGTTCCCGCGTTCTGTCCATTCCCATGTCCCTGATGTTCCTGCATCCTGGCCATTCCTGCACCTCTGCTGTTCTCGTGTTTCCCTGGTCCTGCATCCTGGCTGTCCCCATTTCCCAGCCGTTCCATGTCTCGGTCGCCCGCACGTCCCAGTGCTGGCGCTGACCCTCTGTGCTGGCTGCCGCAGACCCCGCCAACATCTACCCCTGGCCCCAGGACCCGCTGCCCACCGACAAGCTGGACTTTCGGCACCACAACTACGACGAGATGCGGAAGGTGCGTCCTGCGGCCGTGGGGCAGATCCTGCAGCTGTGGGGCAGACCCTGCGGCCGTGGGGCAGGCCCCATGCCCATGCATTGCCTCCACAGCTGATGCGACGGGTGAACGCCGAGTGCCCCAACATCACCCACATCTACAGCATCGGCCGCAGCTACCTGGGCCTCAAGCTCTATGTCATGGAGATCTCTGACAACCCCGGGCGCCATGAAGTGGGTAGGTGTCGGGGACACGTGGGACCGGGGGACACACACTGCCAGGGCACAGCTGGGGCACACACACATGGGGGCACACACAGCCCTGGGACACGCGTGGCACAGCTGGGGTCCCTGCTGGAGGCATGCACGGCTTGGGGACATGCACGGCTTGGGGACATGCACGGCTGGGGCCATGCACAGCCAGGGACGTGCACAGCCAGGGACATGCATAGCCTGGCAAGATGCACAGCTCGGGGACATGCACAGTTTGGGGACATGCACAACTCAGGGACATGCATGGCCCAGGGACATGCACAGCTTGGGGACACGCGTGGTCCGAGGACATGCGCATCCAGTGACATGCACAACCGAGGGGCATGCACGGCCAGGAGTCACTCACAGCCAGGGGCATAATCAGAGGACATATGGGGACACGCACAACTGGGGACACAGCTGGGGCCATGCAGACATGCACAGCCAGGGGACATGCCCATCTGGGGACACGTCCAGCGGGGACACGCAGGGCCGGGCGCGTCACCCACGCGGCGCCGGCGCCCGCAGGCGAGCCCGAGTTCCGCTACGTGGCCGGCATGCACGGCAACGAGGGG